GCTTCAGCCTTCCAGGGGACATGCGTCCATGCTGATGATGCTCGTTAAAAAAAAAATGCATTAATTAAATTCGTGACTGAGAACTGAGGGAGAATTGTATGTCTCCTGTTCTGTTTTCCCCGCATTCTGCCATATATTTCATGTTAAAGCAATCTTGGATGATGACCCAGCACATGTTGTTCGTTTTTAGAACACTTTCACTTCATATGTGACAAAACACAAAGAAGGCACCAATGTGAGATTTCTAAAGATAGCTACACCACCCGACCAAAGGTTTAAGAATCTGAAGTGCTTTCCAAATCTGAGAGGGACGAGGTGTGGCGCATGCTTTCAGAAGTCTTAAAAGAGCAACCCTCTGATGCGGAAACTACAGAACTGAACCCCCAAAAAGAAAATCAACCTTCTGCTGGTGGCATCTGACTCAAATGATGGAAATGAACATGTGTCGTTCGTACTGCTTTGGATTGTTATCAAACAGAACCCATCATCAGCATGGACGCGTGTCCTCGGGAAGGCTGGTTGAAGCATGAAGGGACCTATGAATCTTGAGCGCATCTGGCAGGTAAATATCTTGCGATGTTGGCTACAACAGTGCCATGCGAATGCCTGTTCTCACTTTCAGGTGACATTGTAAACAAGAAGCAGGCAGCATTCTCTCCTGCAAATTGTAACCAACCTTGTTTGTCTGAGCGATTGGCTGAACAAGAACTAGGACTGAGTGGACTTGTAGGCGCTAAAGTTTGACATTGTTTTATTTTTGAGTGGAGTTATTTTTGGTACATATTTCTACATTTGTAAGTTCAACTTTCATGATAAAGAGATTGCACTACATTATTTGTATTAGCTAAACTGAAAAATATTATTTCTTTTGTTTTTTACTGTGCAAATATTTGTAATAAAATAATAATATAAAGTGAGCACTGTACACTTTGTATTCTGTGTGATAATTGAAATCAATATATTTGAAAATGTAGAAAATATTTAAATAAATGATATTCTACTATTTCTTTACCAGTGCAATTAATCACAATTAATTTTTTTACATCGCTTGACAGCCCTAATTCCAGTTGTTTTATAATTATATGGTAAAAATGAGAAAGTCAGCCATTTTTCAGTACTAGTGTGCTGTGACACTTCTGTATTTTTATGTCTGATTTTGTAAGTAAGTCATTTTTAAGTGAGGTGCAACTCGGGGGGAGGCAAGACAAATCAGACTCCTGAAAGGGGGACAGGCGTCTGGAAACGTTGAGAGCCACTGCACTAGACCAGTGATACTCAGACCTCAGTGGTTCAGGAGTCAAATTAGGAATCAACATTACCCTGAAGAGCCACAGTCGTGTGAATTCATGGTTTCATTTATTATAGATTCATATTTAAACAGTGTGTCAGGGGAAATATTTAGTTTTTACACATACACACCCCACCCCCAACCTCAAGGGAATGGAAGTTGTTCGTAATTCTGAACAAAACATTATGGTTGTTCTTTCAAAAGTTTACAGCTGAACATTGACTTAATACAGTTTGAAACTTCACTATGCCATAGAAAAATGCTACTTTCCCTTTAAGTAGTTTACATTTAACACAGTACTGTATTGTATTTACTTTTTTCCATCTCTGCTGCTGCCTGATTTGTACTTCCAGTTCCAAATGAATTGTGTGGTTTACTGATCAGTTCGTAACTCTGGTTTTCATAACTGAGGTTCTACTGTATTTTAGTCTCACAGCAAAATGACTGATCAAGTATTATTTTATCAACTACAATCGATTAATAACATTGTAAAAGCATCCTGATTGGTTAATAATTAAATCAGTGTTTTAATGTCATGAGCCTCAAGGAGACACATTAAAGAGCCACTTGTTGCTTGCAAGCCTCAGTCTGAGTATCACGGCACTAGACAGATACAGTGGAACCCCGCTATAACGCAATCATTGGGGTCCAAAAAA